TTTTGAGTAACGAGGAAAATATTACCTGACGGACCGATAGGGTATATAGAGAAAGAGGGCGTCTGGTGGAGTTTTTCGTCCCTTGAGGAAAACTCGGGCAAGAGAACCTCAGAACAACAGGGAAAAAGAGAATCACGAAGAGTAAGTATGCATATATATATATAATGCACTTGGATGTGTACGTGTGTAAGAGAGTGCAGATTCGTGAACATGAAAAGATCGGTAGGTAAGACCCGGGCGCGCGAGCCGTATGGAAGGCATCAAGTATAAGTATATATTTTCGGGAGGCCCCAGATGGCAAGCGCATCAACAGCAGCAGCGGGCCCAGCTTGCGCTTCCTCTCTCCCTCTCTTGCATTCGAAAATTGTAGCAACGGCAACGCGCTGCATGTACGGCCACCTGCCCTCTTTTTTTCTTTTCCCTCCTCCACTTCTTTTCATTCTTTATATATATATATATATATATATATATACACACTTACGCGTCTCGTCGTTGTGAAGCACGCGTGTTTTTACGTGCAGTGCAGGTACTCCATATCCCGTGTCCCCCCCCTCTCTCTCTCTATTCTACCCTAAGCGCTATCTTTCCCTCTCTTAAATGCCGGTACACTTACCGGACATCTTTCGAAGTTTGCCTATACCCGCGAAAACCAACCCTCGGAGAACAAGATCATTCTCCCTTTGTTCGCCTTTTTTTCCGTTCAACGTTGCCATACAGTTTTTGGGATACAATACTGATCTACGGAGGTAGGTATTTGTTTGCTGTAAGTACCTTTTTTTTCGTTCATTCCGTTAAAAACTTTCGTATATCGTTAACGTTCATGTGCCAAGAGTCGCGAGTTAGGGTTTACAGTTGGTGCAAACTTGCATTTATCTCAAGTTTATATATTTTAACAAGATGATATATTACGACAATATATTACCAAAACAGAGTTTGTCCAGTATATCGTTAACAGATTTTTAGTGAAATATAAGCTCTGCGTACTACATATCCTCATTTGTTTCTCAACATGTTATACTTTTGGCAAACCTTTTGCGATTTAATCGAAGCAACAAAAGACAAATTAATAATATGCATGTTTTGGACAATCACAATATAATTATACATATTTATATACTATAGACCTATATTATTATATGTAAAAAAGTAGATACAATAAGTATGCGGAGTCGTGCAAGCAATAAATGCATGCAGTGGTGGTTCGTATCCCATAGGTATGATAACCCTCGTGAATGGGTACTATAGTGTGTATACATATATATATATAATATGTGTATTTCAAGGGCCCTCAAAACTATATTATATACATATAATAAGGTACAAGTAGTACAAAATACGTAGAGGGCAAGTCATACATATTCTTTCAGGGTAGCAGTGTTATTTTTGGGCAGGTTTCTCTCGCCAACTGCAAATGATTTGGTTTGGCGGCAATTAATGTGGAAATTTTATGCATTCGCATTGGAGCTTTTACGATGATTGATTGGCTGAATTTATTTCAACACGTAGTATATACAATGACATATATATAGTCTGCGTGTGTACACACTTACTCGGTACACCTCGTTACACACTCCACTTACAAGTGTGTGTATACCACGTGTTACACCATTATAACAAATATCCGATTGAGGTATGAGTATACAATATATAGTAACAATCGCGATGATTTCGATGGCTTCCAGTAAAGTATAAGTTGCAATTTATATGTACGTGTATATATGTATATACATTTTTAAATGTACCCAAGTATATTTTATTATAGCAGAAAATGAAGCACGAGATGGAGACAGAGACTTATATATGTGTGTATAGCGAGTGTAAACTCATGCGGGCTCGCTGCATCGGCAAAGAGACCGCACGTGTTTTATATACAGGTACGTATATACAACGGGATATTATATATGTATATTACACGGTTGATTGAAAACGGAGACGAGCAGCGAAATGAAATGCCGTAACGGTAAGTATATACACGTAGCGCATGTAGGACGAGGTAGAAAATCTTTTTTCTCCCGGAACACTCACACACACACACCAGGGGAACCTCATCTCCCTCCTCTCTCGTATTTACATTATTTCGCCTGGTTGACTCCTCGCTTTTTTTTTTTTTTTTTTTTTTTTACCGAT